TGGACCACCAAAACGTTCTTGCCTTTCGCGTTCGATCCTCTCAAATTCTTGGATATCATGCAGGAGGTCGTCATCGTCGTCGTGGGTTTTTCCCAACAGCATCGTACTTAACTGTCTTGAACGCAGGGCCGTGGTCACTTGCTCCCGAGTATCGCAGAAGTCAAGTCCCGCCTCCTTGCACAAACAAACCTTAGAGTGTAAGTAGGCCGCTGTACTTTCGCTTCATTGCTGGACGCGATCCTGCATCCTTCTCCAGCGTTCCGCTGCACGCGTCTGGCTGACAAAGGTTCGGCGAAAATGGTCCTCGAACTCTTCCCACGAGGTGATGTCAGCGCTGCGTGAGCGCAGCCAATCCTTGGCGGCTCCCGTGATGTGGGACTTGGCGCTCTTGAGCAGAAATGATGACGCCCATTTATGGAGCGTCGCCGTTCGCCGCAGGTTCTCCACCCGTTCACGAGCTGATGCCACGTCCTCACTGCCGTAAAATTTTGAAATGTTCTTACTCAGGTCGGGCATTACCTGGAATGTCGTCACGCCTTGCGATTCCACCGCCGCTGATGATGCCGTTGCTGTAGGCATTCCAATAAGTCCTTCAGCAGACAATCTTTTTCCACGATCACGTTAAGGAGTTCACGCACGGAGACTCCTTCGCCTTGATCGGTGGCTTCGGCTGAGCTGGTCGTGTGAGGAAGCTTGTCCTTGTCCATCTTCGACTTAGTCAAGCAACGTGAACCTAGTGGTCCTTCCGGGCAGTCATCGATCCATATCCCACTTCTGAGATGTTATCTTTCTTTGTCTTGACCCGGATCGGAAGGTCGAAAGGAGACTACTCACATTGGTAAAAAGAAGATAAAAGTGAGATTTAATACTTAGTGCGAATTGGGGTGGCCACACAGGCTGAGTTCACGTTCACCGTCGCCACACAGGCTGAGGTTCTGTTCACTGTCGCCACACAGGCGTTACGGCGCAGCGAGGTGCACACTGCGTCGTAAGTTGAGAGAGTCTGCTCTGCGGAGACCCCGCTCGGTATCAGCCGCTCCGCGTAACATGATCCGTGGGAGCAGCCTCGGTGCTTGGTGCCTCGCTCGGACTTCGCACGAAAGTTCTTATACGCGTAGTCGCGCCGCCGGATACTAGCAATATATGTGCCGCTTACTTGTGGAAAAAGTCCACAGGTGGGTTTCGGAAATAATTTGCGAACACCAAATTGCACAATTGGGAGAGGTGTTTGCTTTTTCTAGTCTCGAAAATTATGTCCTCGCAAAAATTATATTGTTTACAGTATCATTAAGGGGCGATTAGGTGCTCCAGAACTATCTAGTCAGCACAGAACAAAATTTTGTGCATGATATCTTTAAAAAAAAAAAAAAGCGCACCACGCTTTGGTATAAGCGAAGAGCCACAGTGAGCGCCTAGAAACAGGGTGCGGAGCAGTGTCAAAGGCAGGCACCACAGCGTGGTTTGTCTACAACTCAAAGGCAGGCGGCCACAAAAGTAGAGCGAGCCATCCGACAGGCATCTTTCTAGAGGAGGAGTTGGCCAATGTGATTCATATGCTCCGAAGATATAATGTTGGCATGTGTCAGCAGGAAACACCGACAGCTCCTGAATGTATTGAAGGGTGGAGCTGAAATGCCGGATTGCCTAGAGGCACCATCACCTTGCTGCCGAAATCTGGACTAGCACACCCTCTGCATGTAAAGTGTGCTAAACCAATTACTCAAATAAGGCTGAACACGTGTATCTGCTTCCATAAATACGAGAATTGTGATGGCCGTGTTGTTCGTACACTGACTTGGCATTTTCCAATGTTCATATTTCTACATTTTCAGTGTGCTCAGATATCCAGAAATTACATATTCTGCTGAGAAAAATGACTTGCACACGAAACTGCCTCAAGAAAACCTTTGCAAACTTTGCCCTCCTCTTTCTCTTCCTAGATACTATTCAAATATTTAAAATTTCAATATCAATTTTGCCAACAGCAAGGATGCACAAACATTATTATTTATGGCTTTCAAAGGAATAGCCTTGAATGTTCATAAAGCATTCAAGGGCTACCCCTTTCCTGGGAAATAGAGCGTACCATCATAGCCAATATGACCTAAAACAACCGATCCAGCCTTTTTCTGTGTCTGCAGTCCCCTACAAGCTCTATCATCTCTCAATTTCTCAGAGTCTGATATTTGCTGTTTGTCTCTGCATTATCTCAGTCTCATGTTTATTTTAATTTATTTATTGCAGGTGCCAGTGGCCTTATAGCAGGGGGAGAAAAAACAACAACAACAACATTACAGTAAAAAGTATAGGGCAAATGGAAACAGAACAATGACTATACGCAAATATGTGCATACCCCCCCCCCCCCAAAAAAAAAACACAAACTAAAAAAAAAAAAAAAAGGAATTAAAAAAAAAAAAAAAAGATAATTGTTTGTACTGTTTACAATTTCGAAGGGTAAAGAGCTCTAATCACTTCAGGTTTGAACAAAAACTTAGCTCTTAAATAAGTCATATTTAAACATGTATACTTCAAACGGATGATCAAACCTAGGGGATACATAGGTGGTAGGAGAAAGATAAGAGGAAGCATTTATCAGTTTGGCCAAAATATATGTTATGAAAAACTTTTAGGTGCAACGTTTTTCTTCTAGTTTACATATTTTCCCAACCTAAGCTACTCTTCATCTGCGTCACACTTGCACCACAAATGTAATTTTTTAGACAAAAACGAGCTGCCCTATTTTGTAGTTTTTCTATTTCGCTACTTAGATATTTTGGTAATGGGTCCCACGAAACACACGCATACTCCAGGACTGGCCGAACATAAGTCAAACAAGTGGCTTAGGTTGCAAGATGCACACTTTCAATTTCTTTGTTGGAAGTTTAACGTCATGCTCGCCGTACCGACAATTTGGTTGATGTGCCCTTCCCAAGACCAGGTACTGGAAAACAATACACCTACATATTTAACTGCAGACTTCTCGGGGACTAGCTCGTTGTTAAGAATAAATCAAGGAGAGAAGTGTTTCTGTTCATGGGAAAAGCATAAATGAAAACATTTTTTTACATTAAAAGCCAGTCCCCAAAGAGTACACCAATGCTCCATTTTCGCGAGGTTGGATTCCAGACAGTGTGCATCCTGGTCAGAATGAATACTTCTGTACAGTATGCATACAACCTGACATTAGAGGAGATTTGCTGTGTAACATTGTTTATAAATAATAAAAAGAGACACAGACCCAGCACTGACCCCTGGGGTACTCCTGATGTGATATCCTTCTATCTAGATCTGACACCGTTTAACGCAAGACATTATTTTCTGTTATTAAGATACTCTTGCATTCATAAAATAATTGAGCGCTGAATACCAAAAGACTTTAGTTTTCTGATTATTCCGTCATGGTATACTGAATCAAACACTTTTTTGATATCCAAAAATAGGCAGTCAACTTTCTCTTTGTTGTCTATAGCTCTAGCCACATTATGAAAGAATTCAACTAACTGGGTTCCACAAAAATATCCTTCCCTAAAACCGTGCTGGGCGGAGGATGAAGCGTTATGATTCTTCAGAAAATGCATAATATTACTAAGATGTGTTAAAATATTGTACTGCAAATGCTGGTTAGGGATGTAGGTCTGTAATTCTAGACAAGATGCTTTGAGCCAGTTTTATGAACGGGAACTTTGTTGGCCACCTTCCAGTCCTCAGGCAGAGAGCTAGTTGACAGTGAATGTTAAAATATATCGCAGAGATAAGCAGATATTATACCTGTGCAGCATTTTAACACCCTGGGGGAAATACCATCAGGTACGATGGCAGACGACACATCCAGTTGGGTCAAAAGCTTTTGTATTCCAGGAACACTAATCTCAATAGGCGGCATCTCGTTGTCAATGCAGTTACTAACTGTAACTGTTACTATTTGTTTTGGAAAAAATACTAATTTGTAAAAAGAATTAGAACATTCTGCTTTTTCGTTTGTAGATATGTAAGTTGTTTTGAGTCACTCTTGGCGGTCCAGGTTTGCTAGATTGCCAGAACTCCTTTTTATTGGTCGTCATTCGCTCCAGCGTCCCAGAAAAATACCATGTCTTAACAGAGCAAAGCAAATCTTCGTATGCCGCAGTTGCGCTAACTTTTTAAAATTTTCATCGCTACTAGTTTTTTTTGTATTTGGCATTAAGCACCCCTCCTTCTCTTGATGAGCTTCAATATGCCATTATTAACCCAAGGTTTGTTAAATATTTGTCTGCTCCGGTTCGTCCTCCACGGAATGTACAGATTCACGGCACTGAGCAGTCCGTCTTTGAAAATTAACCAAAATGTGTTTGTGTCTGTCTCGTGCATGCAATCAAAGAAGCTGGCGTAGAAATTTTCCAGACAAATAATGCTTTCGTAATCACCTCTGTCATACAAAAACACCTTTTGTGCAGTGTCATCAATGTGATTTTGACTAAAAGGGCAAAGAATGTGAGCAATAACCACATTGTAATCACCAATTCCCTGTACCACACCAACACTGTCAACGACATCAGGGCAATTACATAGCAGCAAATCGAGTATGTTATCACCACTTGTTGGGACTGTAACACATTGCAGAAAACCAAAAGTGTGACCAATATAAAAAAAGAATAATTCACAACAGACTGACCAAACGTGTTGCACGAGCCAGCGACCTACTTTATGACATCCAATTTGCACCGGGTCGTTCATCAATTATCCTTGTGCCCTAATCTCAGCCTTACAACAGTGAGCACTCCAACAAGAGCACAAAACAGAGTATGCAAGCTGCAGCTGCTTTCAAATGAAAAGTAGGCCTTTGTAAGGAAGCACCGAAATTAATTCAATTTATGATTGCCACTCCGTACAAAACGCTAGTCTACGACCAGAGATTAGAAACAAGGAATTTCCGTTAAATCACAGCTTTCATCCATATTTGCAATCGTGCATGTAAATGAGGAAGTGTTATTCTGCCATATTTGATTTATGCCATAGTTACCTGAAAGGCAGTTGGACGAGATACAAAGCGAGCCAGGAGACGGGCGTTTTCGGCAATCTTGTGCTTTATGTCCGCTAGTGCCGGCTCATCCACCAGAGCCGAGGACAACAGCTTGCTGCAACCATCTACAGCCCTGTAGCCGAGAAGACAAGGTTATTTGCGAGGCTGAAAAAAGTAAATATTATTGAGATACTATTTGTTCTAGAGTACTGGTCAAGGTGCATTCTACCTAAAGGTTGCTCATACCGCAAGTTGTTCCATACTGCACAATCAGTTCAGCCGATATTTAATTTTGCAGTTCTGGGTCTTTGGCTTAAAGTTTAAACCAATAACAAAAGCAATAAAGCACAATGAATTCTTTTTTTAATTTGAATTTAACCATAGATGGCAATTGAATTATGGCCTGTGCAAACATACACAACAGCACATTATTAGTCTGCACTTGAAATAACACTGACCTTGCTGATGCTGCACTGACTTTGCACTACATTAGTGATACAGTGTTGGTACAGCACTGTATCAGTGCTAAGTTACGTTCAAGTTAGCACTGCATCAGCGATGTTCCTAGTGTTGATTTAGCGCTGCAATGTATGTGTGAAACAGCCTTTAGTTTTCTGAAAATCTACCTTTACCGTAGGTTTGACTAAACTTCAAACTTTGTAGAAACATCTACCTTGCTTTTCCTTTGAGTGTCCACATGCCACAAAAAAAAAGCACAAAAATGCATAGAAAAATCTAGGCAGAAGTTCAGAAACCTTAGAATAGATGTGAAAGGCAGAGCTGCATATATGTTAGAACATATGCAACCGCAGATGTTACATTCTTAATCGCAGAAATACCTTCTGCCATGCAGAAGAGTCCCTCTTTCTTTCCCCTTCCTCTTTTCCTCCTCGCTTTTCACATCCTTCTCACACGAGTCCCAAGGGGCTTAGCGGCCCCTGGACAAAACTCTTGTAACTCTTCAAGGTTTTATGCCTCAATCCCAAACAAAAAGGATTAGTTATGCAAGCCGGATACGAGCTCGAAAGGGGGCAAGCAACAAACAGTTTTTTTTTTTTTGTTTTTTTTTTTGTAGTTGTAAAATACACTCAGACTCCTCCACATACGGCCATGAATGACACAACGCCCCATATTTCTTTCGAGTGAGCGGAACTTGGACACAAACCATTTGAGGACCACCGAGGCACTTTAAGTGTCTGCAAAATGCACATCTTCAGTCAACCCCACAATAGAACTTGAACGTTTTGTACTATAGACAACACGCATCCAACTTCTTGGTTATTTCTTTCAGCATATGCAACTGAGAAGTCTACTTCACACTAGCACTCAGCAATAAAAATTGATTTTGTCGCATTCATGGTCACCCAATACCATTCCTCCCCCCTCCCCTCGCCACGGATGGGGCCCTCCATCACCTCCACAGGTCCCCAAAACATCAATGGTTCAGAACCACTGGTTTATGGTATGCGATCCCAGAGATTGTAAAAAATGCTGCTCGAACTTCCTGCTGTCTCAGTTCACGCCATGAATTCGCCTAAACAACGAAAGAAGCTAAGTGAGAGACTTACAACAAAATAGATACTTCAGTGACTACCTTTCTTGAACGGAACAGCTGCCAGTATTCTCACAACAGCAAGAATTGTTCTCCAAACCGGTGCTGCAGCTAATCAAACTCGTTGGGAAGAGCAGGTGCTAAGCTCACTCAAAACGTCTCATGGGCCACTGGCCTCTTAATAATCCTTTCAAATCCTTCAAAACTTCCTTTGTGCCCACCCCAAATTTGCGCAAAAAAAATCAAACAGGAGATAAAAAAAAAAAAAAAAAAGAAAGTCGAAAAATGGCGAGGAGGAAACACGAGATGCGATTTCCTCCTTTTGCAATGTGGAAAGGTCGGCGAGAGAGTGGGTCAGGTTCCTTCTCTCTGCCGGCCTTTAAGGTTGAAGGTCCCCCATGACCTAAATATTGTGAAGGTAATAATTATGTAACCCCTTTGAAGAATTACCTCAAGTAACCACTGCATGTAAGCAGCATGGCACAGTCAGTGTGAACACGACATTGATGTTCTTTTGCATTTTGCTCACACGAGGGATTAGACAAACCTGAAAATTTACTGCCAAAGTCAATGCCCCCAAAGAGCACATTCAACTGCACTATACTCATTGTCACCTCAAGAATAACGGTTTAAAAAGGTTTGACCTCGCAGAGTATTACTAGTTTCCCCCTTTATATAGTAAATAACGATACTTTTATGTGCCCTTATGATGAGCTATTCGTTATTTTTATCAAAACAAACGTGCTTTGAATGCAAAAAGCATTGCTTTTTGAACCAAGTCATGTGAGAACTACTTGACGCGGCACAGAGCTCTGCACAGGCTCGGATCAACTCAAAAGCCCGGGCCGGATCGGGTAGCTTACATTGTTCTAGGGCCCCGGGCCAGGCTAGGGCAATGGTGAGGAGCACTTTCTAAAATGATGAGAACAAATTGTTAATAGTTGCATGACTGCAAAACTATATGACACCACTAAAAAAAAATCTAAATAGAAAAAGCTGTCTTGAAAACAAAGAAAAATGTGGTCTAGTCAAGGGGGTATACCAAAGATAAGCTAGTCTACCCCGGTTTTTTACAACTGTGTATCCTTTTGAAGGTGTATATGTTGACTTAAAACGAAAGAAACACACAAGAGGACGAGACACACGAAACAAAGAATTGCTTTTGCAATTCTCTGTTCTCCTCTAGAGGATTCTTTGCCCCACAATTTCCCGATTCCGTGAACATTGTAACCTTGCCTCGCAGAATGGTTCAGTCCATATTTCCCATTTTTCTGTATTTGTTCATCTGGGCACAACTTTCAAAGTGACCAACCTGAATCAGCCTACCCTCCGCTTTCACACAGTTTTTTTTTCCAAAATCGCTTAAAGGTTTACATACGCCTAAAAGGCTTGTTTAACTTGACCGGGCTGTAAGAGACTGTCCCCAAAACAAAATGCATATTTTGCCGACGTAGGACACTCATCCCAGCATAGGTGCCGATCGACATCATACACATAGGGTAAGAGTTAATGGGTTTGTTTATAAAAACAAAAAGCATCTTCCAGCTCGTCAGTTTTATGATGCAAGACAAAGTTCAAACAACATTGTATGCAAGGTAAAAATAAATGTCTAAATTTTAAAAAAAAAGTGTTTTCCAACTTGTTCAGTTTATGATGCAAGATGAAGTTCAAGATGCACAAAAGCAATTGAATTAGGCTTGCTTTGATATCTAACCAATTGTCAAGTTAGGGCTCGAAAGCTCCTTCGGGCTCACGTTTAAAATAATTGTCGGGTTCGGGCCAGGCTCAAACTTGCATTTAAAAACCTGCCAGCTCGGGCCAGGTTCGTCCAGTCTCAAGAGAGCAGTCAGATCGGGACTAGAAATTCTGGCCTGTGCAGTGCTCCAACACAGCATACAAACTATGCGCAAAGCTTGCTTATTTCTTCAGGTGACGAGGATAGCACATAAAAGCTGTGAAAGAAAAACAAAGAAGGGTCAATTGATGTTTGTGCAAGCTGCATCATGCTCCGCAGATGCCGGCTTCACAGTCAAGCGTGTGGCTTTTAAGTGAAAATCCAAAAGCTCTTGGGGGCCAGCTTGTGCTGGAGAAAATAGTCCCAAATGGCACCAGCCTCAGCATGGATATCCCCACCATGGGAAACTAAGTCCAGGGTCACCCACAACTCTGGTATTCCCACAGCACAATAATTTGCAGCAAGACATTTTTGCAGGGTTACTAGATGGAGCTCAGAGTTTGGTAGGATCTTGTAAGGACTACAAACAAATTACAAAATTCACAGTACCAAAAGGGTTTGCCCAGATTTTTCAGGAACACCACAGTAATGTGCGAGTTGCCCTACATACTACTATGTTTACATTAAGAAGGGTCAAAAACTATATGTATTTCATCTAATACGACATGTGCGCAAATTACCTAAATTTGCAGCCCCGAAAAAAGCATGCAACGCCTTCAGCCATAGGGCTCTTCTTTTCAGTATAAGAGCCACAGTAGCCATGGCTTCTCAGTAGGGGTTCAAGGTCCTGACTGAACATCCTGCGGTCAACCTCTTGCAGAAACATCAAGTCTGTCTTGTATCCTGAAACAGTATGCACGGAATAAATTTCACATTTAAAATGGCTAGACACTCGTGTTATACATTGAAAGATATGGCCTACTTGTGTGAGCAAATAATTATGTTGCAAAAGACACTGCAAGTAGCTCACCCAAAATCTCTTTGATCAACAATTGTTTCCTGTACGCTATGTCCAGCGCATGTTCCGGGCAATAGGAAAACAGAACCGTCTTGGCAAATTTGGAGTCCGCGTATGCATCAGCAAGGAGATTGTAAGACATGCATCTGAACCTGTTTGTTAAATGAAAGAAGAAATTTCAATATTTGATAAAGCAAGTGCCATGGAATGGAACGTCACAAACCACAACCCTGACTCTATTGCACTTTGTTTGAAGACTAGCTAACATTTTTTTTAACAAGGATATAACAAGAAACTTTGGCTGAAACATCGCTCCTTTTTTTTTTTTTCCTCTTGGACATCTTTTCAATCTTCCCCCAACTGAGTCATTAGGTTGTAATCACTGTCTATGCACTTCTGGCATTAATAAATGAGTATGCTTGATATGTAAAGACGTAAGACAGTTTCAAGCTTCAAAAGAGAAATCAATGTCCAATAAAGAGGCTGCACCCGTCTTGTCAATAAAATGTTTTGCAGCAAAAGCTATACTTCTCCCAACATTCATACAGTTGTTACAAACATTATGTAACAACATTCTACAATGGAATTTACACTTCTTACTAAGGGCAGTGTGGCAGCAGCAAGCTTAAATTTTTATATTTTATACGAGCCCCTACTGTCTGGAAATGACCGGAGCCCACTGCCTGTACCCATTCACCACTGTTCTCAATAGACAAAAATGTAGGTCATCTGCTGCACGGTCTTTCAACAACTCAAAACCATCCTTGAAGCATTTGGATTTAGATTCCATTTCTATTGTGAAAACTCAATCATAACCAGTGGAAGAGGTCTCGTACGCAAGACAGCTGTGTGATGCAAGTCATTTCCTCACTTTGAGAGCTTCCAAAGTAGAAAGCTAACAGGGAGAAGAGATGCATATAAGCAGCTGAACGGAACCACTCACTTTCCAGGATCGGTGTAGGATGCTGTGAAGCAGTGCCTGCTATCGAATGGGCAATACTCGGGCCCAGTGGTGACAGTTGTGGTAGAAACCACCTCCACGGGCATGCCCTGCTTTTCACCCACACATGGAGTTAATATCACAAACAAGTAGCGCCCAATGTCGCCCACCGTAGGGGTGATGCTCAGACTGCACTCATGCGTGTTGAAGAAGGACTTGTTATGAGTCCGGCGCACCTCGTCGGTTGGAAAGTGCTCGCCCCTCAGTGTGCTCTTGTACCAAATAGCCTTGCAGTCGTACAAATCAGCATTTTCCAATTCAACCTGGGGATGGACTGGAAAGCCTGCCATGATGAACTTGGGCAAGCGGGCATTCTTAATCGTAGGTGTGTTCACTGCTATTGAGTAGCGCTGCTGACCAATCTGCAAGAAATCAGGAAACTGGGTGGCTTCATTTCAGCTATCAAGAATGCAATGCCTCAACAGGCTATCAATAGCGTACATGCCACATAAAGGGAGCAATCTGTTTGCTGATCTGCAACATTTTAGCAATGCAAAGTGTGCACCACGAGCCCCCACGTCAGTATTTCCGAATGAGCGAAGCTATACGCACGAGCTCGTGCACCTTGACCGGAAATGGCTATACGCACGACGCGGAGAGCTCATGCCATTTGGGTCACCCTTTTCGGACAGTGCTTGTATCACTGGCAAGCGTGTTAACCCACCCCCCCTGCCCACGTTCACGCCGCTTCGCGGCGACAGTGTGCGGCTGCCAATTACAAACTATCACCCCACTTGCCCTCCCCCCTCCCGTACACGCCGCGATTGCACCTCCAGAAAGGGAGCCCCATACCATATAATTTAGCGAAGTTTCGGCGACAACATTTGTTTCTTTTTTTTTTTTTCCCATGTTATTTGTAAAAAAGAAATGTTCTAAATATCGAAAATGCTCGACAAAACAAAATGTTAGAGAAAAAAAAATGATAAAATAAGCCCACGCTGTGGATCGATCCGGGATTCACTGCGTATGAAGCAGACACCTTACCACTGAGCTACGTTGACACTTTGAAAACTCGTTCTAAGCATTCGTTTTACACGAGTTTCGCGTTGTGCGTATAGCAATTCCCGGTCGAGGTGCACGAGCTCGTGCGTATAGCTTTACTCTTTCTGAATGAGTAAAGCTATACGCACTCTGTCGTGCACCTCGGCCGGAAAGGGCTATACGCACTACGCGAAACTCATATAAATTGAATGGCTACAACAAGTTTTCTAAGTGGTGGCATAGCATAGTGGTAAGGTGTCTGCTTCATACGCAAGTGGACGCGGGTTCGATCCGCAACGTAGTCCTACTTTTTTTTCTTTTTTTTTTCTCAAACATTTTGTTTTGTCGGACATTTGGCGATATTCACGACATTTCTTTTTTACAATCAACACTGAAAAAAAAAATGAAAAAAAAAAGTTGTTGACGAAATTGCGCAGAACTAAATGGTATGGGACTCCCTCTCCGGAGGTGTAGTCAGGGACAGCGGGGCTAGGGTTGCCGGCTGGACGCGGTGAAGCAGCGTGTACGGGTTAAGTTTTGTAATTAGCAGCCACACACTGTCGCCGCAAAGCGGCGTGAACGCAGGCGGGGGTGTGTGTTAACGAGCTCCCCAGTGATACAAGCACCATTCGAAAAGGGTGACCCAATGGCATAGGCTCTCCGCATAGTATGTATAGCCATTTCCGGCCGAACTACACTACGTAGTGTGTATAGCTTTACTCTTTCCGAATACCAAAGGCGCAACCATTGAATCCTTAATGCATCATAATTCTAGGTCTACAGCACTTCTTTTTTCCTTCTTAAGGGTCAGCTCTATCATAAGCATACTTGTTTCAAAATAGTAGAACATGTGTACTTGTAACAAAAAATTCCTTTATTTTCTGCAGTGTTTAAACACCTAGTGTTCAATAATATACAACATAACAAACTGCTGCGAATTGCCCTATTGCTGCAAAGTGGTCCTATTTTTGTGACCGGCTCCATTATTTTTCCCCTGCGTTTTTTTACAATTCTCACAATCAGAGAGAGGCACACAACACTTTGCCGTCAAGAAAACACAGTTGCTCATGGTTCTCATTTGAGTTCGCGGCGGATTTGGTTATTAATATACATACCTGTAATATGGAACCGTCTTTCCAAGCCACGTAGTTCGTGGCATCTGCAGGGACCGACCTCCCCTCGTATTCCAAACAAACCGCCAGTTCGGTTGGAGAATCTTGAGGATCCCCAGGTGCGTTGTAATCTTTCTGCTTCTGCTTCTTGCGCCTCACTTTTTTCTCTTCTCGACTACTTATGTTCAAAGCTATTCTTGCAAGAACACTTCCCACCTGTTCTGTCGACGAACGATTAAAATTGTATTGCCTTTCCACGGCCTCATTTGCAGAATACTTGAATGACAGATGAAGTCGATCGTTCTCTTCTGTAAAGTTCACGTAGGCAAACTTTGCCGTTTGAATGGAACATGAAGACATCGCTCTGCTAACAAGATGTTTTAGATCAACTACACTACGCCTGAACAGACTTAAAAACATTGTTATAACATGAAAAGAGTCTTCATAATAAAATAGGCATGCGAACGATTGGAACTATAAAATAAAGCATAATATTTCGCCCCTTAACCAATGCTTAACCGGTTTCATAAACCACCACGATAAACTTTAACACGTGGGCGCTGCCATCTTAAAACAGCGTTGCCAAAACTGCCAAGGTGCGTCGCGAAGTTCAGCGAAATTCACTTGAGCACCGTGAGCCTGTGAGCACTTTATCTTTCGATGGTTATTTTGATTTTCTAGTGGAAATTTCGCTTAAATTAAGGATTGACGGATATTGAACTATGATAATTTGATTGATAGATCAAAATGCCTATATAGATTTTTTCTTCGTAGCACTTTTTTGCGTATAAATAGAGCAAGGACAAAATAAGCAGAAACGCCAGAAACGCGAGCACGGCACACTCAGCAGGGGGAAGAGGCTACGACGTGATAAAATTGTGTGGCTTGATTGGTAATTCGACCAAACTTTTGGCAGTCGAAACAGTCGAAATGTGAGGTGTCACTCTCGTTGCAGCGGTGTCCTCGAGAGCCACGATGATGAATCTTGCGAATGTTATCTCGGTTGACAAGTGTACTCACGTCCGGGTCACCAATTTGTGGCGAGATGAAAAATCGTTTACTCGTTCTATTGCGATCTCGCGGGAGAAGCGTGTCAGATCACACACACAGCACTCAAAGTTAATTTAAAGTCCAGTGCCTTCTGTGTGTTTTAAAAGGTCCACGATTTTCTGTACATTTCTAGTCGTGGGTCCACTTGTTGCTCTCATGAATTTTCTGTTTATTTAGCTTATACTTTTACGTTGGCCTTACAGGGGATCGATTCTAAAGCAACGCGTCTGCTGTCCGAAAGCGGGCGAAAAAAAATATGTCAGTACTTATATATATATATATATATATATATATATATATATATATATTATTAATGGTACATTTTAATCATGAAAGCTAAAACTTACGCTGTTCTGAAATATCACGGCCATCACGGCTAAGGAATTTGCCTGGGCCCATAAAGGGAAGAAAGAGCGGTGGCTCGGGAACCGCCTGGCTATCCTTGCAGGCCTTTACAGGGACAATAATTCGTCAGACGAGTGTCCTAGGGGTTTTAGGGAGAGAAGAGCGCCAAATGTAGGGACTGCATGTCCTAGCATGGGCGTTGATGCAACGAGTTGCAACGAGTTGTGAAGGCTTTGTTTTCCTCAAGTAAGTGAAATGACCTCAATATTTTAAGTTTGACAGTGTTTCCGACGTCGGAGTTAGGAAAGCCCTGCGTAATTGCAACAAGGCATCAAAGGCTCGGTAAGCAAAAGCAGGCATTCCGCATCACTCTTAAGCTGCTTTGGTGCACAACCAAATACGGTTCAAGCCAATATCATCAATATCGCCTGAAAGCACTTGAGCAACCGGTTACCATACGTCGTGCGAACACTCGCACAAAGCAAGTTATAATAGCAAACAATAAAAATGAAAATAACAAGCTTAAAAAAAAATGGATGGCTCTCGGTGACCGTATCGGTGGCGTCCGATAGCTGCTGCCATCTATGATGAGGTAACACAGACAGGTGCGGTGTGTTGTAAAGAGGATTCGGTCGCGTAACAGCACACATCAGTAGTTATCCGTGTTTCTGCTTCAGCGCTATGTTGTTATTTATAATTATAACTAAGTAAAGAGCTTTTGAATAAATACATAGTACAGCGTTAAGAGTTCCTCACGCATATTAACCATATTAGGAGCCAACGAGGCGGACCGGTCCCATGGTGTAATGGTTAGCACTCTGGACTTTGAATCCAGCGATCCGAGTTCAAATCTCGGTGGGACCTCTCTTTTTTTTTTTTTTTTTTTTTCTATTTCGTATATCAAATATTGTGTGCTTAGTCTGTGGAAACCGCCACAGTTTGTTAGCCAATATAAATGTGTTAGGGGACAACTTATACTGGTGGTATCGGTTTTGCGTTCCAGCATGTTTTCCAGGGATATTTGAAGCGACGTGGAAGCGAAAATCGGCATTCGTTGTTTTCGCAATATTAGTAGAGGCACATACTTTCGTTGCACGCGCCTCCAAGTGAAGTGCTCGTGCTCGCTCTTGCCGCGATCATGCGGTTTTGAAACTTTATTCTATGGTGCCACAGACCTACGGCTACGGGCCATTGGCCTTTTGTGGTGACCAATCTCTCCTCAAGAGTTAAATATAGAAGTATCAAATATGTCAAATATCATCCACTGTCATTTTGTGAAAATAGTGAATTCAAAATTGCGCCTGATTTTTTTTTTTTTTTTTTTTTTTTTTTTTTAACGTGTGGTGTGTGTGAAAGGGGTTGCCCGGGGGGGGGGGGGGGGGGGGGGGGGTATAAAAAAGTATCCCCCATCCCTCAACTGCTCTGACACCACTGGCTACGTTTGCTTTTTTATATTTGAATTAGAACATCTGGGAATGGGTGAATATCGTTGTCAGTTTAGTTTATATAATATTTCTGTACATCGTCTTGTATGTGTTTTTCTGCTTCTTATGTTCTTTCCCCCAAAGAGTGTACCGACTAGTGATGCAAAACTATCGAAAAAGGGACTATATCGATAGTGTCAAAAACTATCGATAGTACTATCAATAGTTTACTATCAATAGTACCGTTGATAGTATTATCGATAGCTGACTGTCGATAGTGCAATCGATAGTTAGCTTTTAGTCACCTATGGACACTATCGAAGGTCAGCTTTCAGAAAACCATCGAGTGTTAGAAAAATTGAAGCACTACCAAAAAGGGAATGACGACAGATATGCACTGGCAGACAACGCGTGGTTTTTGGGGAAAACATGAAATTGTGAAAGGAAACATAACATAGAGGTGCATTCTGGTACAATTCATTTAGAGGTAAAACAGAAATGGCGGTTTGTTAGTTTTCCTGCGCACACATTTTGTATATTCATGGGGTTCAGACATCATGCGTCACACTTTGGTATGCCCGCATTTGTAAAAATATTCACTGCATTCAGTATCTCTTGTTTGTCTTGGAGCTAGGGAAAACAGTCGCTGAAGCCATATTTAGCATCAGGGTTTTCACAAGTTCATTTCACGCGTGTGTTTCCTCTATTACTTTTCATATCCTTGACTACCGGCAGGTGAAAATGACCACTCTGCTGGGGATCGTAATTTTTTTTTTCTCCAGATGATCACGTGAATTTTTGAAAATCGGGAATTAGCTGTTGACGAAAGCACTTAGTCTTGTATGCCGTGATATGTTGCCACGTTTTGTTCGGTTCTATTTTGGAAGAGTAATAACGGTGGCTGGGAAAATATTTACCCGTTGGCAGGCACGTAACCAGGATTTTGTTTCGAGGGGGGGGGGGGCGTCCATGACCAAATGCTGTATGAGGGAGAGGGGGGGAGAGGAGGCCCCAGCAAAATAGAAGATTTTATACCAACAGGCAGGCTACGTGCCTGCCTGTTGGTATAAAATTCATCTTCAAAATACAGAAGCCGTCACATAATCTATAAATAAATATATCTGAATCAATAAATGTTACAGAGGGTTTTTTGTGCAGACTTCAAATTTAACATTACCAGATAAAATGCTTACTCGACAACGTAGTTACTGATGCTTTTAGTTTTTCCATTCTTCAAATACAGTAAGTTTGGGAACATAACGTTAACTGGATCAAAAATAATTGATTAAAACGAAAATTTCTTGTGATCCAAGTAACGATATTATTGGCACTGAGGCTTTATTTCAGTGAAAAAGGCTTGTTAATCTAAACGGCCAGTATTGTTTCTTTTCTTTCTCTTAACCTCTTTGTCAAAAAAAAAAAAAAAAAAAAAAAACGTTACACTTTTTTTTTATCCGGATAGTCATGTCCCCATACTTGCGCATTCGATCACCATCGCTAACATTATATTCAAGCAGGGTCCCAAATTTATGCAACATTTACTTATTAGGGGCGGCAGGGATATTCATTTTTCTTATTGAGCTAATAGAAAGCAAAGGGCACACGGCGGAACGCAATCTAAAACAGCAAAAGAACTTCGACAACCTATCAAGTTGATATCTTTTATGCATAGTTTTTTTTCAATGGTATACAATATATATTTTGATAGTTTATTGTCAATAGTTTTTAATGATGATTTCTACCGTTTTGTGATTGTTTTCCAGTAGGGTTTAGATTAGGCACGTAACCAGGGGGAGGGGGGGGGGTTCAGGTGTCAGAACGACCCCCGATATATTATTTATTATATATATCTATATATCTATTTTTTATTGTGTGTGTGTGTGATTGCATCAGCATCTTGAAACACCCCCCGAAAATATTTTCTGGCTACGCCACTGGTTTAGAAAGTTCCTCGATATTTATGCGGAAATCACTAATTGCAGTTGCGTTTTTCTCCGAGCTGCACGACAGTTCCTCGAAGTTCTTCGTCCGTCACCTAATAAAGCCCCACGGATAGCATAACGATATCTGGATATTGATAGTTTTTCAAGATTCGACTATTAACAATTTCACGATAGTCGATTATTGATAGTATGCTATCGAGTCTCACGACAGTCGAATATAGATAGTTTACGATAGTCGACAATCGATAATACTATCCATAGTTTTTTTCACCATCGATGGTTAAATTCGGATTCCACTATCGATAGTATCGATAGTACTGTCGATAGTTTTGCATCACTGGTACCGACTCGATTCTAGCAGCTGTTCAAAACCTGAAGACGAGATTTACAGTCGGTAGACCTACCGTTGTAGCTAACATTCCAGTCACGTGCTCCAGTTTCATTAGAAGTTGCTTGTGTCCAGTTTTGTCAATGGTTGAATCTCACAGATTTGGTCAAGCCTCCTTAGGATGGCCGATACAATAAAAGAAGATATATCAAATGAACGTTTTCGCTCCCTCAACGTGAATCTGCTAAGGTCAAGCTTGCCCCCTCACAGAGCTGCTGCGATGAGGAATACTGGCATACTCCGCTAAACTGCTTCGCACGACTGGGTGAGAAACTTTATGCGTCCTGTGCCCGCGAGTTGAGTTCATGTTCGTGCTCAGTTGCTGTTTCAGAGCATGATATGCTCAGAGACTTCGAGGAAATAATTCCCGGCAGTAGACTAGACACAACTCCACGAAGATTTCCTTTCTGCGAAAAACACAAAATTTAGACAGTCAGAGCTGAAAACA